ATTAGCTTTATGTTAATCATTGTTGTCAGGAGCAAGGAAATACTGACTGCAGTTTCATGATCCATGAAGTATATACATCAAACATTAGCTAGCTGATCTGTTTGAGAGACTCAGGCAGACCTGATGTAAAAACTGCTTTAATTTACTAAGAAGATATAACATATCACAGGGAAACAGAAAAACTGCAACCTCAGGCAGCAGCTGTTTTTCAGATTCGACATAGTGATTTTATCATATTTTATTGAGCTCAGATATAACAGTAGACAATCAGGAAGACGTCCAGCAATATCCGTATATCACCAGTGACAGAAACAGTACAATCCGTTACGGTAACATCAGGTGCAACAGTGACATTAAAATACCACAGGAACAGTTACAGTTCTAGTACCTCACTAGTCCACTCTCTACTGTAAACTGCTGCCCCCCCCTCCCCTCCTTCCCCGCTCCCCCTGTTTGCCCATCCTTATCTCTCTATCATCTCTGCCTCTGAAGAGCATATTACATCATCCAGGACTCCCATGGACAGTAAGAAGCAGGTACTCTGATAGGAATGAACTGCACCTAGAACAATCCTGCAGCCAGGGGGCGTGAAAGTGAAGACCCACTGTCAGAAATCCGAGGGGTGGTGGCACTGCTGATAGCCCTGCCCCCCTGCCTGGATGCATTAGCAGCTTTACTTAATGATAAGGGATGTAGATTACTTCGGGTATATTTACGCTCAGAGACGGCTCTCTGTGACCAAGTGACATTTTGGTGACATTGTTGTTATAAGCAGCATGTTGATGAGATAAAAAGAGGTGCAGTCACTATCGTGTTTCATTTTCGCTGAATCCCACAGGTCTTGGTGCGTGATTGTACATTTAAATAGAAATTGGATTGGCGCTTATGAAGATTGTTCTCTCTGAGAATGGTAATAATAAGTATCTGATCAAGGACGAGGATTGCATGTTCTCTTTCACTGCTAATGCTACAGTGCACCAGTGAATTGAAAAGCCGGGATCCAAAAGTGTGACAGTACAACATTGTCCGTGGTCAGAAAATAGGAACATTGTAACATATCGAAGTTTGTTCTCATCAGCACTGTTATCTTTGCCTTTTCATTGACATTTGCTGCTTGGCAAGCCACATGACATTATTTTCTCACCAGGTGAACAAAATATCATAACTGCGGGTCTGAGCCTGTGCCTCCTTGTCAAACAGAGACACTTGAGTGCAGTTTAACTATACAGATACCACTTCTGCTGTACATAGTATCTGGTTTGAGATACCATACATATGTTGTACTGAATCAGTCACAGATAGTATCATATAGAGTGGGAAACCCTAGGAAGTCAGACAGCATGGTTTTGACGGAGCTGCGGGCCAATCCGTTTGACGCTGAACTCGATCTAGAGATGCTGGATTCCCCAGGTAGAAGGGAGAATTAACCTGTGTTTTGTTGTTGTTGTTGTTGTTGTTGTGTGTGTGTGTGTGTGTGTGTGTGTGTGAGTGTGTGTGTGGTGATTTGTAAAGACATGACGGAATTATACATAGAATACTATCTGTAGGGTAGGTCTAAAAGTAAGAGGGGATTAGGGGGTAGGAGGAACCACTCCCTTCGTCGTCTTTTCTGTAAAGAAAAAATCTTATTTGAAATGTAGGGCATTGTGGGGCATTGGGTAAAAATTGGGGTCAAAATATGTCCTGTCTCCCTTATGGGCAAGGGCCTAGTGCCTCTACCTACCTAATTCACTATGCAACATATGTGCTGTGGACTTCATCATATTCACTTGCACTTTTCCTTTTTAAAAATGCTTTTACAAACTTTTTGTATAAGTCTCGTTTTACACATGGAGGGAAAGAAAGGGGGGGGGGGGTACATCATCCCCTCCTTTCCGTAAGCCACTGTGATTACCCCAAGTCCCAGCTAAACCATATGTTATCTGACAGTTGAGTACTGCACTAGATAAGTTATCACCTATGTTATATGGCATTACAGCTGCAGCTAAGGGAATTGCACCAATTTGTATGTGCCCAGACTCTACATGCATGGCATTTACATGTACACAGATTGAATCTGATTGAACTTTATAAAAATAATAATAATGTTTATTGAGCACTTAATGTGTACATGGCTTGACATTTTCTGGCTCACTAATCAATGAAGAGTATTATAAACACACGTATACAGAAAGTGTAATAATGAATATCATAACATGACATATTAATGATGTCAGTACACCTTTTTGCAGCCAAGCTGGTGTCACAGCATGAGTACCTACTTTTAATACAAAAATAAATAAATAAATAAATAAATAAATAAATAAATAATTAAAATAAATAAATAATTTTTTTTGTGTGTGTGTGGGGTAATGCTTTGTAGACACTGGCTTGATTACAAATAGGAATGTGTCAAATCAGCTGCAGGTTATTTGGCTGTAGAGAGTGCTGAGAGAGTGCAGCCTTACTGGTCATGTCCTGATATCAGTTCACATGTTTCAGGGCAACGTTGCCAAATATTTGACAGGAAAAATACAAGCACCCCCCTGACTAGGCATGTGACCAAATTTTGTTTGAAAATTTCCGGGTCGTTTTGTCCTTGCTCTCTTTACACATTTTTCACATTTGCCAAATTTGTTCTGTTGTATCTTGTTGGCTGTCTTGGTATAGAGTTATTATTTTTTTCCAGCATCACGTATACCAGACCATTCAATACAGTGGATTGTAGAATTATATGCCTATTCCAAAGTTTGTACAATTTTTGTGATGTGGTAAAATTCAGTAGGTGAAAGATACTCTCCATTACTTATTATCATCTCATTGTCAATAAGAGTCTGTGTGTTCATATTTGTGTGATGAGTTGATGAGTTATTAAATATCTGTGAAATTCATGATTTTCTATCTTCCATCTACTGATTCATAACTTAAAGGACTTGCACTGGCCCTGAACAGTGTCACTTTTACATTGACACACAGGAAAAAACTAACAAACAAGCCTTCTACTTGTTATGTACTTACACAATTAGGTGTCAAAATAATTTGAATTTTATCATGGGGAATATAGGAATCCTTTCTGTCCATGGGTGAGAATTTTTCTTTGGTGTGGTACTTTTAAGTTTTTTATGTAGTTTGTTTTGCATATCAGGGTCACCCATGTTGCTAGTGCATGCTGGGTCAAGGCCATGGTGTCAGTTTCACTTAAACCCCCCTTTACAACAGACACCATGGCCTTTCTGCATCCTTTGTAGCGATCATGAAACTGGCATCGTTGTGGTCGTAGAAAGGAGTCACAAGCTTAGGTTGCAGAATGAATGCCTTATGACGGGCCAGTGGTTGGCATGTAAAGTATTATTTTATTTTTACTGTCAAACTGGACCTTGCTACAGGACATAGAAAGGACGCTGTCCAGTGTAAAGGAGGGTTTAACAACTTAATATTGATACTAAGACCCCATTCCCAGAGATTAGATCGATCCAACTAGATCGTCCTAACTCCCTAGGGGTTCATGCTAAATAGCTGTCAGCCGAGCGGGCACGAAAGTTAATCACCCCCTTACAGCTTGTAGTAGGCAGGACAGACATTTAAGCCGGATTATCTGACAGTAATCTAGTGGGACTCCCCACGGGGATAGATCGATCTAAAATCTATGGGAATGCATCCTAATACTACTCTGAGTGGAATTGTTCACAGGTCCACCAACACATTAGGATCTGTGGGCATTCAGCCTGATGATGCTCTTGTGACAAGAGTGAAACATGGCTGTTTCATAAATAATATGTTCTAAAGTAAGTGATTACTATCACTAAAATGTTAATTAATAGACTAAATATTAATAACAATGATAATAATTATAATTTCTTAAAAACTAACTGCACTTCGCTTGCATTTTAGTGCCATTTACTTGAAAACTAAAGAGCAATTAAAAGACAAACTAAAATTGATAAATTGAATGTAAATGATGATAAGATAGGTAGACATAAGTTAAAAGACTGTGTTTGAATGATGACTGAATTTTATGGTGAGACTAAAATGTAAAATCAGTTGAAATACTGAAGCAAAAAAAAAAGTTTTTTTTTTATAATTCTGTATTCAAGGGGGGAAGGGCATGTGCACCATTGCCTCATGTAATACATCATGATAATGAAGCTGTGATGTTTAAAGTCAGTACAAATTAAGGTGCAGGGGAGAAATTAAGAAATCAAAGTAAACGAGGTGTGAAGGGTTTCTCCTCTTTCCCACACCCTTGAGGTCATCTAGTTTATTGAACTGTTACACCCCTTGTCAAAACTGGGAGAATTATCTGGGGTGTTTTGTTGTCTGGAGTATATACATTGGAGTTAAAACAGTTAAAATACAAGTCTTCCTGAGGTGAAAGAAAAAAGAAGGAAACTTGCGACTCTTATTAATTTTGACTCAATATAAGAAATTGGCACAGTTAAGGTGGTGCAATGAAACCTGCTTGACGGCAGAATGAAACTAGAATGTGTGATTTACGTACTTGTTTGTGGCTCAAATTAATATCTAACTCTTTTTAAAAAAATTATGTAACATCATAATCATATAAATTTTTAAAGATCCATACAACATCTGTTGTGCATGCAGCTAAATATCTTTGCTAGAAATTGTTAACTTTGCAACCATGGTGCAAGCCTCCTATGGTCATATTGTGAATGTTATGAAACAGAAGTCTGTTTTACAATGTCTCAATCTGCTAATAACTGCTAACCACGCTAACCCCTTGTTACAAATACACAGGTGAACTGAGGAAGCACAGGGAAGGACGATTTTGTAAGCATTATAGCAGACACCTTGATCAGTTAATTCTGATTGTATTCCAGACAGCTGTCTAGCAAACTTGAAAAAGTTGTGCAGTTTGTGTGCATCAATGGACCAGTTACATCAGTTTTTTGTGTTTGATTTATATAATAAATTGATCATAGATTGACCCAATGAATTTCTTTATAAAATATAGATTGAATCCAATGAATTTCTTTATAAAATCTTCGTTTTCTTCATTTCAGATTCTGGAGACCTGAATAATGTCCAATCGTTGGCCTCCATGTCGTCGTCTGCGCTGGTGGGCAACCAGACCATGAGCCAGTACTGTGCCATTTGCGGCGACAGGGCAACAGGCAAACACTACGGAGCTGCCAGCTGTGATGGGTGTAAGGGCTTCTTCAGAAGGAGCGTCAGAAAGAATCACGTATACACATGCCGATTCAGTCGGAATTGCATCGTAGACAAAGACAAGCGAAACCAGTGTCGGTACTGCCGATTAAAGAAATGTTTTCGGGCTGGGATGAAAAAAGAAGGTGAGTTATATTGGATTTTATTTCTGAAGAAAAAGTTGACATTTGAAATCTGATGTTTTTTGTGTTTCCCCATTAATTTTATTTTTATTGATCTATTTAACTAGATTGATGACATTCATTGTGGAAAATTCAATGACTTTCATTAGTCAGTTGATTTTGATTCATAAGTTAAAGGAGACCCGAAGAATTTGAAGATAAAGTGTCATGGCAGGTAAATGTTTGAGTCCCCCCCAAATCCCTGGCAGATCTTGAGTACTTTTGGTCATTTTATTTTTCTAACACTATTATGCCTGAAATTCGATCAACACCTGAAGGCACTTGGTGCAAAACTATTATTGTATCTTTTGTATAGCCAGCAGGATAAGGTGAGTGATTCATCCATAGGTTTTCTGTGAGGTTATCTGTTGTTGTTGTTGTTGGAGAAGTTCTCCACTCACAGGGCACCCATTGTCCTCTCTCTCTAGGTGGCCTCAGATATAGGGGGCATGCAAACTCATTCAAGACAGGACACTGGCAGTTTTTTTGTGTGGATAATTTGAAATTTTGACATGTGCTGCCACTCATTAAATGATTGTGTTCCAACATGGATACTTGTGAAATAGAATCAAAGAGATCACAAATAAAAGATATCAAACTGCTTTTGACGTGGGTTACTTTACAAAAAAATCACATAAATCTGTCAAATGTAGGCAGAAAATAAACATGTTTTGTATGGAGATTTTACAACACTACTGTTGCAGGTATATGTGAATAAAAGTAATTTCCGAGTGAAAAAAAATTAACAGTTCAGGTATACAGTTCAAAAAGTTCAAGTGCATATTCAAGCAGTACCAGGTGTGTGAAGGTTTCTCACTTGGGAATGGTGTTAATGTAACGTGAAAAAAAAAATTCAATATTCCTGTAGGTCTACTGAAGCATCACACCCATATCAGGGTGATAATCATAAACAATATAAGCCCGTGTCTAAATAACCAGAAGGAATTTGTCACAGATGTCACCTGAGGTATTGAGACTTTTTATAAGATCAATTGAGGATACAAATAGGTCCTTATATTATGGGACAGCATCTTTACATTTAATTTTGCAAGCCTTTTTTTGTTACTAGACAATAAAAATAAATAAAATTAAAAAAAAAAAAAACCTGCATTAAAATCTTTGATAAACATACAATTATATCATTGTCCTGCTAGTCCGTTGTATTCTCACACATAAAAAGACATCAACAAGTGCAGGCACGCTCCTTACAATCCCCATAACTAATATCACCTCTATGTTATCATCCTTAGTGCAATTCCAGGCACTTCTCCCTGGCACAACAATAGGAAATCAAGGGGAAAAGCACGGGTATCATTTTTGTATTGGGGACTTGAATTAATAACCTGTCACTGGCGATAACCTTGGGGTGTGCGTGTCCGGCTGTTGATTATTTCTATTGACACTTAACATATCTGTTCATATCTGTCCCTGAGCAAGGGATTAGTGTAACGGAACATTAGGTACAGTTTTGTTAATGATTGGCAATTGGTTTTATAAGTGGCATTGACAGTATGTGAAATAGCCCACGTGTTGAGCTTCAATGTCATTTATTATCAGATTACATATTTAATGATTTGTTGTATTTTTTCAAATAAGTGCCCTGACTTATTGGAGAGACTCTGCTTCAAGAGTTTAAGATCTCCAGGGAAGAGGAGGGGGTCAGGAGTTTGGGGGGGGGGGGGGTCTGTGAACTTGGCACTTCTATCAGAAATGACATGGCAGTTTGTCCAATAACAGAATCTGTGAGTTTGTCCTTGATAGCATGTACTAGTAATATGATCTTCACTTGTTTTGACAGTTCAGATAACCAAAAGAGGTTGCTTAAAAGAGGTTGTGTCCAGTATCCTAGCTTATATGCCATTTTAAAACCCACCAGGTGTCAGATAATTGTTTTATTGTCTACCACCTCCTTATAAGACGGGTTATTTACTTGGGTGATTTTCAGACACACATTTTTATTTGTTGATCCATTTATTGACCTACTTCACAATCAGCTGACACAGAGAGAAAGCTGTGGGCACATGTGGATGAATCATGTCCTTTTCATGCTTGTTTTCTTGCCACTTTCTTGGCCCAGTTGAAGAAGTATGCATTATCAGCTGTCACAATGAAGCCACTAGGCCTGTGGAATTGGAGAATCTCCGTTTGTGTGGCGCAATAATTGTCACTCGTCACATGTTTTAGTGAACTTGTATCTCATGACATCTCAAATAAATAGGGAGAGATGGTAACAAATTATATTGAATTTTGTGACTCACTATAAATATGATATGCCTCAAATACCATGCTCCTTTTTAACCTTTTAAAGTTATATGAAAACCATCAAAATCTGAGATTGCACATGAAGTCTCATGGCTTGGGGGGATAAAATTCAAAATTTTGTCAGAAATACTTTTATCAGACTGCCAGATTAATAAACTTTGGATGTAATTGTCCAAGGCAGATAAAAATTTTCAATTATATCTTATTCAAACATCTCATATTGCACCATATATATAAAGTGTCAGCATACTATACCGGATATTTAAATATCTAAGAAGGATCTTTATTCAGAATAGTGCAATATATTCTAACTTGAATTTCAGGCACAGTGTTAATTTTAAAATCTCCATAAATGCCTGCTTATTGGATAAGTACCTGATAGATATGGTTAACTTATTTGAAAATGAAAAAGCTGGTATGTCATTGATAGGAAACTCTGGGTACTAAATTAGTATATATTTCCCAGTGCACTTGCATACATGTAGTTTGCATGCAAGAATACCCACGCAGGAGACTTATGTGCGATCTCTCTTTTATTTCAGCTGTTCAAAATGAGCGTGACAGGATCAGTGTCCGGCGGACCAGTTACGACGAGGTTGCTCAAAATGGTGCTTTATCCGTCAGCACGTTGCTCAATGCTGAAATTCTATCCAGACAGGTGTGTTACTGACTACTACTTAATGTCACTATTGTCATGTTACTGATATTACTCAGACGCTCAAGTTAAAGAAAACTGTTTTTATTTTCAGAACAACATGTTTATCATTAAAAAAAAAAATCTTCCTGATCTGAAAATTGTAGAAAATGTGCAGTATTATCAGAAAGTTAGTTTGAAATATTAAACATGGATTTTGCTAAATTAATAAAAAAATAGATATGAGCCTGTGAATGGCCAATTTTGAGGTAACATGGTGCATTTCCATGTGTATTTTAGCTGATATTTGACTTTTTACTGATAACTTTCCCCCACCAGATATCTTCCCCTCTGGGTAATGTGGACATATCCCAAAAGAAGCTTGCCTCCATCAACGATGTGGTGGAATCCATGAAACAACAACTGCTGGTGCTGGTTGAATGGGCCAAATACATTCCAAGCTTCTGTGAACTGCCTCTAGATGACCAGGTAGGACAAAATGGGTGGTTGGTCAGATATAACCATTATAAAGTTTTGAAGGTGGAAGCCGGAATGCGTACCAAAAGTGCTCCAGATTTGCGGTGTGCCTCGTCTTGTTTTTTTCTGAAGATAGTTAACTGTCAGTGTATTGTAATAATTTCAGCAAAAAAAAAAAAAAAAAGAAAAATTACACAGTTACAAATGGCCAGTAGCTTGTTTTATGATAATAATATGCAATAGTCCTTTTACATGTAATAGCCAACAAAGCATTATATACAATACAAATATATAATAAAGGACTGAGCAGTTCATTACTCTCTGTCATATTCACAGGTCTCCTTGCTCCGAGCACATGCCGGAGAGCACCTAATCCTTGGTGTAGCCAGACGGTCCATATCACTCAAAGATGTCCTGTTGCTAGGCAACGACTACATCATCCCACGCCATAGTTCAGACCTCGAGGTCAGCCGCATATCGGGGAGAATTCTGGATGAGCTTGTCGTCCCCCTACGAGAGGTGCAAATTGATGATTCAGAGTTCGCCTGCCTGAAGGCCATAGTGTTTTTTGACCCAGGTATGAAGTTCCAACATTTGGGGGATACAGGTTAGCTCATTAGTTTTGATTTAATCCAACAGGGGGCGCATGGGAGCAGAGGCTTGGTTTTTACTTTTTTTTTTTCTGAATTTATATTATTTGTGAGGCAGCTTATTTGTTCAGTGGTGGTGGTGCTGAAATGATTTAACAAAAGCAGAAAATGAATGTGATTGATAATGGTGCAATTATTTAAGATCAGAATTGAATTATAATAGAGGGGAATGAGGCGAGTTGTGGACAAGATAGTTAAAGATATGATCATAATTTGCCTGTTTTTAAAAAATCCTGATTTGAAGAATGGAAAACAATGAAAAATTTCTGCATTGCGTTGTCCATTTGCTCACCTAATGGTTGTTCAATGGAAAAATATCTTTTAAGAAAAATTTACATCATGCTCTTGTGAGAAATGCATAAAAATGGGATTTTACTGAGACATTCTTACTATTAACATGATAATGAATAGGGTGATGGGATTTCTCTAGCAGTTGTGAAGGAACGTCAAAAACACCATCAAGGTCCATTTTGACGCAGGGTCTTACAGTATTTAACCACCCTATTTTCATCAACAACACTTTCTATGGTGCACCACCACTTTTCCAGATTCTCTAACATAAATTTTTTGAAGTCACATAAAATCTGCACAGACCTTTGGTTCCTGTGTGTTTGTCTAACTACTCTTGAGTGAACTTTTGCCACTTTCCTTGCAAACTTCTGCTCTCATTTACTCCCTACTTTAACTCAGCTGTAACACATTATTAGTGGTAGAGCTTTCAGGGTTGATACCCCTTCTTAAGTATGACTCTATTTTTATGTCTTCTTATTAATAATTTCACACTTCGTAATGTTTTTTTAAAAAATAAATCTAATCCTTTCAGTTGTTTTGACTAAGTTATGAAATTTGAAGTTTAGTGTGCTCTATTTGATTATAGAGTATGATATTGATAATTGTTTCTTTTTGATTTGTGACTTAATCTGATTGAATTAAAGGTTTGTTTTATATTTGATTTTTGATTCAATTTGCCTTTGATATATATATACTTTTTTATGGCACCTTTTATCCACTCACTCTTTTCTCATCTAACGCAATCAGACACAGCTGCCAGGAGTGTGCTGTAAATCACACCTAATGCATTCTAGTCTATCAGTATTTACTACATGCATAATAGATATGTATAGATTTACCGTTATTCACCAGATGCCAAAGGGTTGAGCGACTCCGCCAAGATCAAATCCATGAGATACCAAGCACACATCAACCTGGAAGACTATATCAATGACAGGCAGTACGACTCCAGAGGAAGGTAAGAAGACATGAATATTTACCAAGGCTGGTTTATGGGTGCTTTCCTAGAGATTTAGATCGATCTAGAGATTAAGGTTTAGATCGACCTAACTCCCTGGGGGTTCACGCTAAATTGCAGTCAGCCGAGCGGACACCATAGTTAATTACCCCCTTACAGCTTTTAGTAGGCGGGACAGACGCTTAAGCTGGCCAAGCTGACAGTAATCTAGTGAGACTCCCCACAGGGATAGATCGATCTAAAAATCTATGGAAATGGGGTGTAAGTCTGCAAGGAGTTCTTATACAATGTAATAGATAGCATAATTATACTATGTAATAGATGGCATAATTATACTATGTAATAAACTAAACTATTATACTATGTAATAGATAGCATTATTAAACTATGTAATAGATGGCATAATTATACTATGTAATAAACTAAACTATTATACTATGTAATAGATAGCATTATTAAACTATGTAATAAACTAAACTATTATACTATGTTATAGATAGCAATATTTTTAAGGGCTGCCCTGATATGCCATGTTATCTGTGGTCTCTCTTTTGTTACTTTGCTTTAAGTCATTAAGGTTTGAGCTGTTACAAGCAGAGAACAAAAAATCTGATTTATTAATTAATAAGTTCAGGTGGAGGAAAAAATTATTAGTCAGTTTTGTCAGTTGAAATGCTGCACAGCCGTGGGTTAAGTGTGGGTTGATTTTCCTGACCTAACACACATTTTCTTACCCTAATCTATACAAATAATCAGCATCATGTCTATCAACTAATTTCTTGGAAAAAGCGAAGTTGATTATATAACTTTCTGCTGTGAGCATAGGAGGTCTCTGGATTTTATAAATTGCTATGGTTTCTGACATATTGCACTGGATTTTCACTGATAAAAGATTTCTCCATTACTGATATCTGTCATCTAAGTAATATGCTGATATTAAACATTCAAGGCTTGAATATTAATACACCGCATCTGTGTTTTCACTTAAGATGGCATCATTCATGACACCTTGATCAACATATGTTTTCTATGTCTGTCCAGATTTGGCGAGATCCTGCTAATGCTGCCTCCCCTGCAGAGCATCACCTGGCAGATGATAGAGCAGATCCAGTTTGCCAAACTGTTTGGGATGGCCAAGATTGACAACCTGTTACAGGAGATGTTGCTAGGAGGTGAGCATCTGCAGTGCGCTAGTACTGTGCCTGTCCTCTTCCCCGATGATTGGCGATGATTTGATAGATGTGAGAAATTGAGGTGTTTCAGATTATAGGAATAACATGTAGAATCAATAGAGTATGAGGTCGAAGTGATTAATGTGATATTGCCTGATTGCACTGAATAGCCTCTAAAATTGTTTTTAAATGATTAATTGCTGTCATTATTTGGTCACTTTTGCTCTTAACTAGTAGTAGCCATAATCTAAAAGAAATCTCATGTAAAGGCTACAGAAATTGAGAGATTACAAAAAAGCGAAGTGATTTCCTCATAAATTGAGAGATATATGAAATAATAATTTCCTACCAGTTAATCATTAATTTAGTGAAAAACAAATGCTTGAGTGGTCCCACATCAGTACAAACCCATTTTTATTTTAGGTGCAACCGAGGGTGCCCAGACCCTGGCTACCCCTACCTCCATGTCCCCCCCTCCTTTGGTCCCCCTGTCTCAGGACCACTTGTCCAATGGGCACCAAATGCCCAACGAGCACATTCCAACTGACCACATGCACAGTATGAGTGAGAGTGGTGGGTGCGCGGGGGGCGTCCAAGATCCCAACACAACCTCCATGCCAGTCACGCTTACCTCCGATCAGCAGCAGGACGTTCTGGGCGTGTACGCCGATCAGACGCCATTGCCTAATTATAATGAGCACTCCACGCCGCAGACCTCCCCCACCATGCCTTCCGTCTCTGAGTCCTTCAAGTTCCCACCATCCTCTTCCAGGGCACATTCCTACAAGAGGGAGAGTAGGTCAGGATCCATGTTGTTACCTGAATATTCTAGTATAGCTTTGTAGATCATAGGTTTGATTTTTCTGTTGAAATTGATAATTTGATAATGAATTTTGCATCTTTCAAACACAACTAATATATACAGTAGCAAATTTTGGACATATATTTAGGGAAAGATTGCTTTTAACAACTCTGTAATTCAAAACCCATGTAGGCTGTAAGCCATTGGCTAGTCACATTTTAGCCAATGGGTTTAAAAAGTTAATCTGTGTAGAATATTACTTTATATTGCACAAAGCAATCTTAACAAACTTATCTTTGGTCTTTACCTTTAGTAAATGACCTTGACCCCCCTTTATAACCTTGACCTAAATTTCAAGGTTGTTATTACAGGACAGGTGCAGGGAGCTGGAACTGAGGAGGGAGCAAGTCAACATGTCCCGACAGTTCCCATGGCAACACCCTCTAGTGTACATCCAGCTGTCTCTTAGACGGAATCCTTGCTAAATAAAGAAATCCAAGGACTAGGAGAGAGAGGATTGTTTTTAATCACCTTGAAGCCATATCAGCCAATTTTCCTGATGATTGGATGAAACCTGGGTTAACACCAGTACATCTGTCTTGATTTTATCGTTATTTCGAGCAAAAGGAAATAACAGGCCTAGGATTGTCATCTACTTAACTTTAAAATATGAGCACAACATGCACAAATATTTATGGACCTTAATATATTCCTGGTAGTTTTTATTAATGATGTACAGGTGCACTGTATAGTATGATATTTTATGAATATTCATATGACTGGGTGGTCCATATGCATGTATATATATATTTGATGCATGTGCCATGAGAAGAAGACCAACATAATATAATGTTGTCTGTTTCTTACACCAAGTGGCAAAATTGAAAATGCTAAATTTAACAATGTCAGAGACGAGTTCTCAGTTAGATGCAAACAATGCTGACAGGAAGGAGCCCTGCTTGAGGTTGTGAATTTGATGTGGCCATTATTTATGGCACACCTGTCATTTTTGAAAAACCAAATGAACCAAAACCATTGATGATTTATGAAATGGTGTAGTGACAGCCAAGAGTGTGTTATGATCACATGAAGTGGAGGGAGAATGCACAGATATACCTGTGCAATGTTGAAGGTTTTTAGGATAAAAAGGGTGCTTGGTAAATCTATGAGAAGCTGTATATTGAATTGCTTATCTAATTATCTAGATAGAATAGACACACACTCACACACTGAAGTATTGGCATTAAGTATAACTGTAGTGAAGTGTTTTTTAAAAATCATTTGTTTGTTATATAGTTAACATTTTATACTGAGAAAGAAGCATTAATGTTAAACTTGATCTCACAGTATGTTTGTAGATATGTGCAGAAGAGAGAAGTTATAATACAATAATATGATATAATAGCCATATTCATTTTATGCCATAATAGTATATATTAGTGTTCATAAGTCTCTCTCTCTCTCTCTCTCTCTCTCTCTCTCTCTCTCTCTCTCTCTCTCTCTCTCTCTCTCTCTCATTGTTCATATTTCATATCAAGCTTTAACTAGTCAGCAACAAACAATGCAAAAGACCATGTCTGCCTGTATAAGTAGAAATCATATAACTGTGTATGATAGGATACTCTTTTTTAAGTACAGAACAGTGAAATTATACTACAAAATATATATATTGCATTTTCATGCGTGATGACATGTTGCAGTGGGTGCTAATGGCAATGATGTCAGATGGTGAAAATTCCAAACCCAGTTTTTACTGTGGCCTCTAGAGTCTACCCACGTTTTGTTGTTGTGGGCTTCAGAATGATGTCACATTTCCGCTGAGTCAAGATTTAATAGAAGGAGAAGGTAGTGGGTTGTAAATTGGCAGCGTGACCAATGAACAATGAATTACCACAAGTTTACATAAAGGCGAAAAAGGAGGTGAGGTGCTTAAGGATGAGCATGGGTGCTGAAGTTGATGAAAGTTTCAAGCCAGCCAATGGAGAAATCCTAGTGAACTAGTTGCCGTTTATGAGGCCATACTTTAACACTGAAGCACTTCTTGATTTTTTGTTTAAGAATGCTTGCAGCAAACTGGCCATGCAGACATTGTTTAAAGCTGCATTTTAAAACACAAATGTCAGTTAAAAGTCAAATACTGTTTGACAGAAAGTATACCAATTAGCAAAATCTCTGATAATTGTGCTGTGCCACCTTTTAATTGTCACCCTTCCACGCCCTCACAGCCCCCTAGCCAGACATAGTTAAAAGTACACTAAATCATTCAAGCTCTAGTGATTAATGAATTCCAGAAATTCAATTTCCTGGAATGTCCCTGTATACAAAACAATGCTGAGAGAATGATAAACAGTGTCTCTATGTCAGGGGTGCTCTGCTAAAGATATTCATTCACTTTCACATCTGTGGGCGGCTTAACAAGGGCAAATTCAGAGTATCATGAAAGTTGGGGAAGGGATTGATCTGTCATTTTCTCCAGCCCTATTCCCACACTTAATCTGATAAGATTTTACTTGTAAAGTAAAAGTTATAATTTAGGGTATTCTACAAAATAGAAGCACCGAAGCATGCTGCTGTGTTGCCTTTTGTGCCCCGGCTTCTTTAGGAAAGATTTTGTATCTGGAAGGGTAGGAGCAGGAGAAGCAGAACTGACCTGTGTCTGTTCTTCCCCAGGTTCAGCTCCATGTCTGTATGCACCAAAAGTTGAGTTAGAAATGTGAAAACTGATGGTCATTTTATAATTTGGTTGTGGACTTCGTGTATGCACTATACATAGTGACTCTTCACTGCATATAAAAGAGTACATGAATGTGTTGGTGTCTTTTGAAACATATTATATGGTTATCATATCCAGATTATTTATATTTTTTAAGAATCCTATAACTGTATCATATTCATTAATTTGCCTGCAGGGTGGCATAGATTTTTTTAAATTGGTGATATGTGACAAATTTAAAATCAAATTAAGATAAATGCACAGTTAATCTAGCTGCAGGATGAATCATTATTCTTTAAGGCCATTATTTAAGTTAGTACTGTAAGCATGACTTGTACTGTTACTTACATCTTGTTTGTTTTGGTTGATTTTCCTGAAAATCAAATAATTGTCTCCTTGTATAAATTGCCTTGCATGTTTAATAATTACAACTTTTTTTGAAAATGTGCATGTTTTAGCATCAGGATAGTCTCTTTTTTTTAAAACCATTTTTCCATTTAGAAATATATACAAATTACATTGTATGCGTCAAATAGGTCCTTAAAATGAATAATGGCAATTTCCTTCTCCTTGCATCATATGTGATATTAACAAATTGTGCTTTTTTAAAAAGATCTTCCTGATGCTATGAATCAAATAGTCCAGAAATGCTTTGAAAAAGAAAAAAAGTCAGTGGGAAGAGTGGCACAATAAGGTACTGTTCACAGTGAATTTTGTTGACATCCATGCCCCTCCTTGGATTGAGAAGACTACAGAAAAGCTGGTGATTATACGAGTACCTTGGCAACAAGAGTAGACATGTAACTCTGTTAATCTGATTGCATTCAGCGAGAGTCCCCATGGAGTTAGTGCACACTAGCCAGGTGGACAAAATGCATTGTGAACGGTTCCTAAGAATGACTCCGTGCCTTTTCCATGCTATGCATACTATCATTTGTTACAGCGCGACTAAATTAGAGAGTTATAAAAGTGCGAGTCATTAGTTTTATCACCAGGTGTCACCAGTGTGGTCCCCCCAGCTGGCAGCAAAAGCAACAACTCAATGCAAACTATTTTGATGGTGGCCATCGCGTCACTTATTTTACAGAAAATGTACATAAGTATGTGAAATGTATGATTAATGTGTATCTTAGGTATCTATATACTTAGTTTTTATTAGGGAGCAATTGTGAATTATTAGTAGATTTTTTTAAAAGATGATTTCTATTGAAACTTCCCTTGTTGGATCACTTTTAACTGCTATGCAGGGGATAATTATTACTATGTTTTCCATGATAACTTACATGAATACCAGTCAGCCACATTTTGTTTTAGTATTTTAGGTCCCAGAGAGCAATACTTCAGTCTGACTATGGCAGAGTGCTGCTTCTTCATACAAATATCCACAAAGTCATGGCATTGTTTATATTAAAAGTGGTATTTGATACTTCTAATTAGGTTATAGGGGCATCTTGGTTACCCTGGCTCAGATATTGAAAAGATATTTTTGAAGACATTTAAAAGTAATAATGTTCTTGTTAGGTGTGTTATTCAATATAATGGAAGTCTTTGTTTGGTCTTAGCTCATGGCGGAGCAAAGTGAAATTTGTTTTAAGAAGTGCATGTAATTGTTGAGTTTTTGTGTGTATAAATTTGATATCCCATGAGATCCAATGACCCATAATCTTCCACTGTATTTTCACAGTGAAAATTGTCGAAAGAGTTGAGTATATTGTCTGTTAGAGTGTAAAAACATGATTTTTTTTTTCTGCAAGGTCATAAGCATTAGTGTTATATACAACATAACACCCCTTGGTAGTTTGTGGACCAGTCGTTACTGTGACCTCTGTCAAGGTCATTGGTCAGTACAGTGACCTCTGTCAAGGTCATTGCTCAGTATAGGGGTTATTCAGTATAGTGATCACATGTGCCAAAATACAGATCGCATTGCATTGAAGCTTTGTATATAGCGCACGTATAGATGAATAAATTAATACAGAAAATCTGCTGGTTGTGTGTTCAATTGATATAAAGCTAGCTTATATAAAAGTGAACTGAAAATAAATAATATTCGGGTCTGTAGGCAGCAATTTCAAAGGGGGGGGGTCATTTTCTGAAAACACGTAATTTTCCTCTTATTTGACACAACTTTAGCAATGACCTAAGACCTGGATTAAATTTTGACTCGAGTGGACTTTTTCCGGCCAATTTCCGTCAGTTTCGATCCCTCCGACAACCCCCCCCCCCCTCTCCCACGGGCCTGAATATGCATTGAATGTCCACGATGCAATTTTTTCTTGTTCCGAGATATAGAACAGTTTCATGAGCTATGACAATGACTGTTCCCTGATTGCATTGGCTTCCTACTACTAGTAAAGAGAACACCTTAAATCTTTCCTCTGCCCTTTCTCTCTGCAGTTCTCTCACTTAAAGGTACATGTACATATGAACCGAGCATCGGTGGAACGTGGATTCCCAGTGACATATATAAACCACTTTTACCAGTTTCTTATACGACTCAAATAAATTCAACATGCCAAGGGATAAACTGAATAAATCACTGGTTCAACCATAAACAGCTTTAGACTGTTCCTTTCTTTAAATGTTTGGTCAGATATTTAACTTACTTCCGTGACCTACTTTTCTGCCCCATCGATATACGGCATAGAATGCTAGCAGAAAAAAACATTCAAATATCATTTTTGTGTAAAATTAAACAATGCCTTTTGGTAATTCTCTTAGTTATACTTCTTGAAACTGTATGCTGGCATTCGGTTGGCTTTTGTGGCAAAAAAATTACTTCATATGCATCTTTAACCGTAGCCAGTAGACTGCATAGCTTGAAGGGTTTTCTGTACTTAACTATAGACGATGAAATTTATGTGGAAAGAAAATTCACACATTATTTGTCTTGATTATTTTTCAATTTTTCTTACTTGCGTGGTTAATTTATGATAAAAATGTGACCACTGTACGATCTGAAGACCAACTGTGACGTATCCAAAAAGGCGCTTTACTCTTATAATTAGTTCGCTAGAAGATTGAACTAGAACACAACTGTTGTCAGCTACAAAGTACTGAGAATATACAAAGGTCGGAGCGCAAACTAATGGCATGTTCATCGCATGAAATTTTCCTAATTTTCCTGGGAATTTCAGCAAGTATCCTCCCATTAACCAAGGAATGTCCTACCTAAGATAGGTGAGATAATTACGATATGTACGTCCGTTTCCGATTTCTATATTTCTTTTTTTACCGCCATGAGCGGAACCAGTCACAATTTAACTTGGACCTTTAAAAAACGGGTTTATGAAATCTAATCCTGTGAATGGCCTCTTTGCAACCCCACAAATTGAAATGTGTGCACTATTTCTTTGGAAATTATATTTTAAATGTAGATGTTTCAGGCGCACACATTAATGTTAAATGTCATTTGTCAACACTATTCAGCGTTTATCATTAATCTGCTTCATTTCTTTTAGTATTGGGACTTTCAATAAATGCGGCCGTCATCGGCCAAATATCGAACATCACACTGGGGTTTGTTACATTATCTGCATATCGTTATATTCAAATTAGCTTAGATCAAGGAGACATGAAGTTGTTTGCTATAATTAGATATAATGCTTCTTGTGTACCTTTTTCTTCATGTCGGTAGAATCGAAGTGATGATTAATAGAATTATTCTCTACTTAGACGTTAAATAATATCAGTCGTGTTGGACTGATGTTATTTAGTCCCTAAGTAAAGAATAATTCTGTTTTACCATCCTATCTAGAAATCATGAAAAAAAACTCTTTCATAATAGCAGGTAAAGGTGATTTTAATCTATGGGAAAATGTCCAAAGCGTCGAGGATGAAGTGTGAAATACATGTTGGTGACTGGCAGATAACTGAACTTAATTTATAAAAATAATGACAATTGATAAACAATGATTCATGCAGCTAATATATATATATATATATATATATATATATATATATATATATATATATATATATATGTGAAACTTGATGATTCATCAATATATTAGAAGGCAAATTAAATAAAAAATCAGAGTTAAAACGAGAAACAGAGTTACAGTAAAAACTATTAAAAACCCTTGTCGCTTGATGAGAATTTAAACAGCTTAAAGCAGGGGACAGAAGTCATTCGTTGTGGTCTATACCTTGCCATTTCTATTCCCTCGGTATCAGTGTTCTCAATTTATGGTAAATCACAATCAATTATCTTGCTACAAGTGTTGGCAGTGATCTCCAGTTTCCATCTTGCCTTCTCAGTTGACCCCTGTGCCATGCTAAACAGCTCCAATCAGTTGCTAATATGATATCTGCAGTCGGCGGCAGAATTTACTTAGAGACACATTTGAATAACAATTGAGATTGGAAACCGCAATTATGAAAGGAAAAAAAACGAGAAAACAAGATTGCTGTTGGATTCAAATCGATTTCCGAAATCGGTCCCAAAGGACCCAAATGTTGAGAATCTCAAACGTTTCGTAACTATTCCACTGTAAGGTCAACTTTACAGTGAGGGAAAGCTTAGGTTTACAAGGAAAATTTTGCTAATTGAAATTGAGGACGTATGACGATTAGATGTATGGGGAAAGGTTTCTTTAAGAATTTTGTAATTGGGGAATATGGGACTTACAGAAATCCCAAAGAAACCTTTCGTGTCAACGCTGTATTGTATTGAAATTTCTCCTTGAATTGCTGGAAGGGAAGTCAAGGGTGTCAGATGATAAGTGCAGGTTAGGGTTAGTCGGAGTATTAGGGTTAGTAGGGGAGACTGGGGCTAGTTGGACCCCGGGGTAAGTTGCCCCCCCTCCATCAATTTATGACAAAGTAACTATGGGGTAAAAGAATTTATCACATCATTTTGTAAAGTGACCGTATCCAATAGTGAGTCCAAATGAAATAATTTAGCATCTTAAAGTAATTTTATTAAAGAGACTTGATGGGGGGCCAACTTACCCCGGGGTCCAACTAGCCCCGGTCTCCCCTACATGGGACGAATGTCACCTATACAAAACAATGGGGAACGGACTACGGTTCCTAGTGGACTACCATTCCTGTCACACCGGGCGATCAAAATGCTGTTAAGTAACGGTTTCGTGAACGACCATAACTTTCGATCTATGAAAGGTTTCGTTTATAGGCGTTTTTATGAAAAACCAACAATCCATGAGCTGTAATTAAGAAACTAAATAAATGCTTTTAGAGAGGCCATCTAATCCAGAAACGGTAGCTTGCATAATGATGCAAGAAAATGGCGTGACTTGGTACATGTAATTGGCAGGTTGCGCATTTTGTAATTATGCATGTGCGTCAGCCCTACCGCAGTTCAAATATGTGCGATGTCACCAAAATGACAGTTTTAATATTATAGAACCCGAGAAATTCCCCATGAAGAGAAATATAGCAATACGCAGACTGCATGACACAAGAACTGGTCGCCATCTGAGGATCTCAAAAACTTGTGTTCGAAGACCATTTCCAGACATGCTGTCTTGATATGGGACGTGCAAGAAGAGCAACAACACTAATAGAAATATTCCATAAGGAAATTGCCCGAATTGCACGCTGTTGGTGCAGTCAGTATCAACAGAATTCGTCCATTTCCAAACTAGAGAGCTCTTTGGTGAAAGTTATTGGACCCGTGCAATAGCGCTGTTGTGTATGGAAAAAACTGCACGCACTCATACACAGTACATAAACTTAAATGCCAATCTTTTTATACATGGGCATGTTTGCTTGACTGGTACAATAAAAGTACAGTGCCTCTTCACATTTCTACTATATAGGCAATAAAATGCTCAAAGTTTTTAGAACCGCACGGAATTTAGATATCTAAAAGATGAAACGTACCCCGTCTTTAATTTTGGAATGGTTTCGGCTGACCTAACTGATTGTAAGTCCAAACCAAAGTGAGTGTATGGAGAAAGTACGCCTAACGTTTCATATTGTGGCATTTTGCAGTGTAATCCTTTGAAAAAAAAAAAAAAAAAAAAAAAAAAATCACGGGCGTGTCTCTAACATAACTATTTAGCGCGAACACGCATGCGCAGCCTTTGTTCTGTTACACCGATATCGAGAGAGACGCCGAGTTGAATACCCTGAACTCGACTGCGGTACGGGTGGTTTCCCCCGAAACACGATATGTCTGTTTCAACACGAATATTGTTGCAGCGTGTAACTGAATTAGTTGTTGATTGCTTCTTTTGTATTTCATATGTGAATAGTTATTGCAAACATATTGTCACGTAAATTGTGACAGAATGAGTTTCGCAATAATCTTGACCGTGTTTATGCAATGACACAACCCAGAAGGTCGATCTTTATTAATTCTTTGTGTAACATAGGTGAAAGTCGCTGTGAGGACAGGGTACTTACCAACTCTAAGTCGGTTTTATGTGGGATGCTTGGTATTCTCATGGGCGCTGCTCGTGATAGGTGAAAACATGAAACTGGTGCAGCCTTTGTCTTCTTCAAAGGTGTGAGGAGTTTTTCCATGATTAATAAAGGCAAATCAACACGTTAAGTCTCTCTCTCCCTCTCTCCCCACCTTCTCTCTCCCTCTGCCTCTCTCTATCTCTTTCATGATCAGTGGATGAGTTTGTAAACGTGACATCAAAGCCATCTTCACCTAAAATATTGGACGAAGAAACCCCCAAAGATAAACCAAGCTGACCAGTTGTGCCTCTCCCAAAATATAGCCAGGAAGCTCAATAGTCGCCAGCGCCAAAACTTTGTAAATATTTTAGCCATCCTTGTTCCTCCTCTGAACGATCAAAATTTGGGGGGGGGGATGGGGGGGGGGTTGAACTCCAATACAAGGCATTGCAACCATTCAGTCACTATTCTGTCTCAACAGCAGACCAATGAGCGTTGTTTGGGCAACCTTTGACGACTGCCGGGTTATCTGAAGTACTTGGGTATATTCTGACATTTTTATAATATTTTTCAGTTCTATTCCTGTCAGCCAATCAAGCACATCT